GCTCTGTTTACCTTATTCACTAAAACAAGGCAGTCCAGGGCCGAGCCCTCCCTTCCCAGGAGCTGGAACCACATGTGCTGTTGGGGGCTGAGCTCTCTCTGCAGCCAGGCCGTGCCACTGGGAGCCACCTCCACACCCGCCAGCCGGATCAGCAGGAGCCCCTCGGACTGCCCTGGGAACAGAGAGGGACAAGGCTGGTGCTGCAGGAACCTCATGCTTTGCACAGACCCTTGGCTCTTGGTAATGAATTTATTCCCGTGGACTTAAAGAATCCCTTTTAGTTCCCCAAAGGACTTATCTGCAAACAGGAATTTGGTCTCACCTCTCCTTCAGTAAAAAAAAAAAAAAAAAAATAAAATTCAAGTTTGCACAAGTGGTTTGAGCTGGTTTGGGTTATTCTGCATACAGAGAGAAAGACCTGCTCCCACTATCAGTTGCTGTCACTTATCCAAAGGGGCAGAGGCATTAACACCTGCTGGTGTTTGCACACACACCTGAGTGTGTGACTCATGGAACTGAGGGACAGTTTCTTTCTGACAAAAAAAATGTCCCCCAAAACGGGTGTCTGCAAAGAAAAGCACAAACCCAACAAAATCTTTTTGCCAGGAGTGAGATGAGCTGTGCAAGTAGAAGCACTGCCTGTGTGCTCACTTCTGCTGTTGGAAAATATCACAGTAACAAATAACACAAACACTGTATTGACAGACTCTGTATGGGTCTCCTCCTGTCTTTTATTCCCCAGTTTCCCACCTGGAAAGCACAGACAGACCAAAAGGCAGAGCAGGAAATGTTTCAGCCCTTCCTCCCAACCTTGCAGGCACTCTGAGAGCAGCACATTTCATCCCTACCCTTGTTCTTCACATTCCTTATTACTTACACTTTCTTTGGATGGCTGTGATGAAAGGAATGCTGATGGGAATGTGCTCAACTTCCAGGCCCTGCTCTGTGACATGATGTAATTTCCCTCTCAATTTCACATTCTTTTCTACAAACTCCACAGGTATATCCAAAGCACTTGTAAACTTCGTTGTCTATTGATGGAAGGAAGAGCAAGACAAAGTTTTATGAAGAAAAGTAGAGTGATTACAGTCACATTAAATCCAACTTCTTCTTAAAATAGTTTGGGAAACTACAGATCTATTATTAGAGAGTGTGGACAAGTAAATATAGATATTTATTTAATAGTGATCAGCTGCAGAGGCTGTGCCAGCCTTTCCCTGGCTTACAGGACCTGCAGCATCAGAGTGGACATAAAAGCCAGGTTTAGAGAGAGAACAGAAACCACCATTTTTTGAGCAATGCCTATTGAAGTTCACTGGATGCACCGTGAAAGGAGTGTTTTAGAAGGGGCCTGAATGGTGCTGGGACGAGGTGAAAGGAAGCCAAAGGACAGACTCGCTGAACACAAAGGCAGAGCAGGGAGGGCAGAGACAGCCCCGCCTTCCCTAAGGGAGGAAACAGGAGAGGGACAAAGGCAGGTGAACAGCTTTGGGAAGATCACAAGGAGATTAAATTTGATACCACAGCACAGGAGGATCCCGAGGGGGTGTTATGTGATCACACAGGGAAACCAAGCTGAGCAGCAGCAAAGACTTGGGCTGTGGCACAGGAATGGAGCGGACACTGGTTTGGGATGGAGGGAGAAGGACAAGTGAGACCCCCAGAGAAGACACTGAGGTCTCACTGTCAGAGGCCTTTCCAGAGCACTGACCTAATTCTACTGAGCTGTGAAGCCCACTGACCTGCTGAAGTACAACTGCTGGGAACCAAACCCCCAAACCCCAGGCTTAAGGCAAAGACCTGTCTCTGTGTGTTATTTATTCAGCAATGCCCCTCTGTGGTCCCTAAAGCCTCCCACCAGGAACACGGGAATTCGGGACCTTCAGGCAGGAAGCCTGGAGGGTTTTTAGGAACAGAAGCTGTCCAAAGCTGATCTCATCTGTTCTGGAAGTTCCACTACACAGATTAACACCTTCACGGGCCCTTGGGTCAAAACCAACCAACCAAAAACCGGAAAAATATAATTCTGGCAACATTTGTAGTTCTTGTTTTCTGGTAGGATTTTTAAGCAGAAACTCTGCACAGAAGTTCTCTTGTAGCCTTTGGAACTGTGCAGAGGGAAGAGGAGGGTATCTGTTATTTTTAAGCAGCTGGAACCCTGGGGGAGTGCGGTCACTCCCTGCCCATGGAGGCTCAGCTTCTCCACGCACCGGTGGTGTGGTGTCAGTGCAGTGTGACCTGACCACTCCAGGGAGCAGAGGAAGATTTGCCTGGTGTTTAAGAGCATTCAAAGGCAGTTCTGTGTGTGGAAGGACGGTGAGAATAGGCCAGGAAAGTACTGTGTTTGGACAAGTGAGGGTGCTCGAGCTGCACTGAGGGAGAGGGGAAGGGCCTTTACCCACCCCAGGGGCTTCGGGAACAGGCTCCGGGTGGGAGCACAAGGGGGGACGAGGGGGCAGCTCGGTCGGGCTGTGGAGGTGCTGCACGACAGTGACACCGAGCCCCTCCAGGTTGGAGCCCCCCAAGATCTGAATCAAACTTTGCCATTGCTTTTTCCAGCTGTTACTCAGCAGCTGTGGCTGGACCGTTATGTATCGGCAATTGCATCGTGAGCGTTCTGTGCTCGGCTAACCCTCTGTTTTAGGGAGAAGACAATCCCGAGAGGAATGGGCTGCCTGGAAAGGGTAATTCCA